TGGGGGTCCCCTGCTGAAGGAAGAACAAGCTCTTGTTTCCCTACGGGACAGATTGCCTTCACTGATAGATCAGGATAATTCAAACAATATTTCATGGATTCACCTCTGAATATCTTGCTTCAAGTGTGGCTACTATATGTGCTATCATGACAGACTATCCAGAGAAAGATGATCTCCTTTCCTTAGGAGATAACATTAAGTCAACTTTGTCAAAGAAGGTCAACAAAATAATTTTCAACGTAAAATGAAGAAACAAAAAAGCACTGATAAGAGTAGTGTGCACCTACTGCACTTTAGACATAGTCATTTGCAATTACTTGTTTCAAGTTTCCCATTTCTGGTGCTGTGGAAATTAAAAGAACCAAAACTCGGTACTTACGGTTTCCACAGTTGAATCCACCTAAGCCAAACGGGCAGCTGGTAACAGAAAACAACAGGGAGTTTCAGCGGCTTCGCGGTGCCGACAGGTCACCAAAGCAATGTTAAGAAGGATGGTGGGGTAGGAGGAGGGCAGAACAGTCACCATACCTCACGCAGGTCTCATTTTCCAGCTTATATCCATCTTCACAGGCTAAAAACACAGAAGAGAGAAGGGCCATGAGCACCGCGTAGTGGTGCAGGGGAAGCATTTCCCACCGCTGCTTCCCACAGCAGCCTCACCCCAAACAACCTCAGGCACCGACAAGCCGGTCTGCGCTGCGGGCCCAGCAGGAACGCGGCGCGCTCCGATGTGATGCAATATCTCCTCTGGTTCAGGCAAAACACCGTGCACTTAAATCCACCTCCCGCTGGCTTTGACGGGACCGTTTCAGGGCTTCCTGGCAAAGCTAGCCCAGAACCTGGCACAGGGTGAGCAGCTGGCAAAGTCATTCCCAGCAGAACCTCTTCTTGCCCAAATGGAAACTCACGGCATGCTTGTATTGCTTCCCACAAAATAGCAGCGTAAAAAATCTGCAAGTCTCTCCAGTTTTTGATTCGAAACCTCATTTGAACAGTGCTACTTTAGCATTGATGCATGTTATTAATTACTTTTAAATGCTAGTACTGCAACAAAATGTTATGCAAACAGAGTCGTGGTTGACCCAAAGTGATGTTACATTTTGCCCCATGAAAAAGGCCACTTTTATTTATTGATTTCAAATTTGGAGCTAAATCAAACTTTAAAATATCATATTTTACTATAAAATAGAAATGAATTCTTTTTACTAGGTCTAAATAAGCCAGAAAACTGCTCTGTACAAAATGTTGGTAAAAAACCTGAAGCCATTGCTTCAAAATAACTGCTGTGCTTGAAGGACAGGTATCTCATCACCTGAATTACCTAAGAAAACGATACTGCTCTTCTGATGAACAGCAAAGGTGATGATACATGACATATGATTATAGTCTTCAAATTACTGATACAATCACCACTTTCCTCAGCAATAGCCCCACCAGAGCTCCTGCAGATCTGCTGCCTTTTGCAGAGGCAGCGAAGGTGGTTGCTCAAAGACCTGAGTAGGAGTGACATGGATGGAGTCGCTTTGGGAAGAAGGACAAGCCAGAGCCAGCACGTGCACCGGCCCTCGGGGGTCTGCAGGACATCACCCAGGGGTCTGGGAAACCCCTGCAGCACACTCCACAGGGAATAAAACTACATTGTTAAGTGAAAACAAAAATGCTTATGGACTACTTTTCCCCTCAAACACCATATGCTTAAAAATGGTGAGGCAGCAGCTCTCAAACCTTCTTCCCTCTGCCTTTCTCTCTAACCGCAGGGATAATGGGGTTGTTCAGCCTGGAGAAGAGAAGGCTGCGGGGAGACCTGATTGCAGCCTTTCAGTACTTAAAGGGAGCCTATAGGAAAGATGGGGACAATCTTTTTAGCAGGGCCAGTTGTGAAAGGACAAGTTTTAAACTAAAGTGGGGTAGATTTAGACTAGATATAAGGAAGAAATTCTTTACAATGAGAGTGGTGAAACACTGGAACAGGTTGCCCAGAGAGGTGGTGGAGGCCCCATCCCTGGAAACATTCAAGGCCAGGCTGGATGGGGCTCTGAGCAACCTGATCTGGTTAAAGGTGTCCCTGCTCACGGCAGGATGGTTAGGCTAGATGACCTCTAAAGGTCCCTTCCAACCCCAAATTATTCTACGATTCTATAACCGACAACCGAAAGCTCTGGCGCTCTCTAACCCCAGCAAGCACAAGGAAATCTGTGGGGAGAGGAGGGAGCTGCCAGCACCAGTCCCAGCAGATGCCTTTTCCCCTCTGGCACAGCTGGTGACTGTATTTTCAGAAACACTTAGCACAGGAGGGGAGGAAGGAAGAAAAGAAGGACAAATGTGCAACGTTGTCCATTAGGATGGGATGGCAATATCATAGTAAAGCAAGAGAGCGCACTAAGCCTTCTGGCTGAATTCAGAAGTTTATGGCTCTTCCAGCATCAATAATAAGCAATACCGATGCCAACAGCGAGCAATGTGACTGTGGCCACCCCCTCATAATACAGGTCACAGAACTTCCCTAAATTTAATTCCAGTTTCAAATCAAATAGTCGAACTGGAGCTACATTTTGGAGAACCATCCAAGATTAATTTTAATATTTTCAGTGACAGACAATCAGGCACAACCCGGGGTCAGATGCTCATAAAGTTAATTTTCCCAGCCAATAAAAACATTCACCTTATTTCTGGTCTGAATTATCCCAGTGTCAAATTCCAGCCTCTGGATGTTTACTTGCTAGATTGGAAAAGGTTAGATGATCACATTTCTCCTCCTCACCATCACATCACTCCTTTGCCTTTAATAAAGCCAAGTGCACTGAGATCTTTGAGTCTCCCTGGTTATTGAAGCTTTCTTCTGAACACTCACAGGTTCTCTTTGATCCTTTTGATTCCCAGAAATAGATGTTGCAAGCCCAGGGATTACAAAACTTCTCCTCTTCTGCCTGCCCGTGCCCCCTAAATGCACTCAGGGACCACAGTAGCCTTACAAGCCAGAGCTGGGGACCTCTTCTTTACCTGCTGGGCCCCCTTCGCAGCTCTGCCCAAGTCTCTGCTTCCCAGGAGAGGCAACCCACAGTGCGCCTGGCACTCTGCTCTTGGATGCCTGGCCTTGCTTGTGGTCGTACTGAAATACCGTTTGCCTAGATACCATTTACTAAGCGTCTCCTGTCACGCAGTATGCCATTTTCCCTGCAGGTGTGTGGACACAGGTGAGTGATGCACTCACTTCATTAACATTGAATCATAGAATCATAGAATCGTCTAGGTTGGAAAAGACCTTTAAGATCATCAAGTCCAACCGTTAACCTAACCCTGCCATCCCACCACTAAATCATGTCCCTAAGCATCTCATCTACCCTTCTTTTAAATACCTCCAGGGATAAATATTGCAGCTCTAGGCACAGACTTGCCATTGCAGCTGCTACCAATGAGGACAGGGGTGCTGATGGCCACAGTAGCTGGTCTTGCACCCCTTTCTCTGCCCCATATGGCCCCACTACTCCTCCACTACTTCTTTCACTCCATTTATTCCCCCAGAGCTGGGGATGGGCAAGGTGAGGTTCTTTACGTAGCCCCCCTGCTGCATCTCATCACGATGCTTTTTGCACTGGATTTCTTTTTCTCTCTCGAAGATGGTTTCTTTGAAGTCAAGGAAGAGACCAGAGGTAACTGGACAAGAATTAAGAGCCTCAGTCAACAAACAGCCAGGGCAAGGGTAGCAAATCCCAAAGGATCCTTGCCAGGCTCATTCATAACACCGAGGAACTAGCAAAATGAGGCTGGATGGGTTGCTCCTTTCGCTCGTTAACAAAAGCAGACCAAAACCATTATGGAGCAAATGTTCCACCGAAGCAAGCCACAAGATCAGGCAGTAATGAAATCTGCAGTGAAAGGGAGGAAGGCATCACCTCAACAGCTTGCTGGAGTTGCCTTCTCTAATGAGCGCAGCAGCCCCGGTACCCCAGCCCCAGCCTGTTGCTTGTGTGTTGGGAGGCCTGGAGGAGCCTGCAGGCAGATGCTGGATCCCCACCTCATCTCAGCCCCTCAGCCCTAGCCCAATAACGTGTGTAGGGCACATACACCTTGAGAGGTCAAAGCTGGAGCTGTGCCTTGGGTAGGAGCACCCCTAGAACCCCACCGGCACAGCCCTCAGGCCAAGAGACTACAGAGGCAGTGAAGAGGAAAAGCAAGATCCCAAATTTGCATCTGTCTGTCTTAAGTGCTCAGTGCTTATGTCTTTTCCTCTCCTCACCCTTCCTTTTCCTGCCACTTTGCTTTCTCCTCTGGCATCTTTCCTGCTCCTTTGAACAGGAGAGCTCGTGCTGCCACACTCACTCGGCAAGCTTTCCAACATGAGCAGGGAACAGAGGAAAAGCTTAAGTGTCAGGGGCCAAGCAAAGCTATCGAGTTGTGCTTTTCTACTCGGGATTCCTTTGCCTTTGCCTTCCTGAAAGAGACTCAGGGGTCTCTTTGGAAACCTGCTTTGCTGCTCCTTGCTTCGCTCCAGAAATGCTCTGTACTTTTAAAAATAGCATGCCCTTGAAAAGCTGGCACATTGGGTTTGTCGCCCTGTTTCTAAAACAGCCCTGAAGGTACAGGGAAGGTTGAAAACCAGCAATCACCCAAAGACAACTGAACCGCACATCGAGAGGTACCATGGCCAACATGTCAAAACTCCTGTGGCTCAGAGACCCAACCTTTCCTTGGTCCAGGGGATACTTTTTCAAGCACGCCCCAGGGGACAGACACCACAAGGCAGGACAGAACAATCCCTGGGGGCTGGGGCGGCCGATCCCCCATGCCCCCATGGCTCTCCCAGACGCACCCGACTTCCCACGGGGCAGACCGGACAGGGCAGCACAATAGCTATTTCCCCCTTTGCAAACACTGTCATTGGAGTTACCGCGCCACATTTTCATGACCCACAATGAGGGTCGGATGCTCAGGAGACCTTGGTTCCTGTTTAGGCACAAAGAGGGCAGAGATTTTCAAAGAGGCTGGCATATTGTATGCTATATTTATCAGAAAATAGCCCTAAATATCAAGTGAGGGCTATTGCTTGGCTTTTGAAAAAGCCTTTAAAAATCCCAACCACCTGGCTTACCCAGACAGGAACAAAGCGATGCTGAAAATCTGGTATCTTGCTGTGGTAGCATGCAGTCGGTGCTACCCTCACGCCACTGCACGGCAGCCTAAATCCCGCATCATCCCTCTCCCTCGGACACTCTTAAGCTGGTCGATAAGATGTTTCCTACTGACAGCAGCAAGCTGAAGGTGGAATTGAGGCCACGCGGTGTGCAGGTAGGGTTTTTTTATATTTTGCACAGCAAACAAGACCCGTAAGTAGAAAGTAACCAGACGTACAAGATGTTAGATCTCTGTAACCATCGCATCCAAGTGCCTCACGGCCTTTCAGGTATTTATCTTCTCAGCACTGCTTGGCAAGAGACGTGGATGAGAAAAATGGAGTAACTTGCCCTGAGTCTCCACCATCGATGATGGAGCAAGAGTTGGGCAAAAGCCTCCCAGGTTTCAGCTCAGCTCCCCACTCACTACATAAACCCTTCTCTGCCTCTCAAGGGTCAGTGGAGATGGCCAGTATTTCCTAATAGAAATCCTTCCCCCAGCATGCAAGATGAAGGAAGGGAAAGAAAACACAACGGAGAAAGGTTTTGCCTGGAGGCACAGAGTGGAGATGCCCATCTCCAAGATGTCCATCCCAGAGCCTGCAGCACATGAGTTATTTCCAGGCACATATTTCTCACTCTCTGATCAGGTTTGGAATCAACAAAGCATCTCCTCCTATTTCAACAGCAACCCAGCAGACACTGCCAGAAGCAATATATAACCACTACTTCTTATCAATAAGTCATCTGAAAACTGCATTTCTTAAGAAGCCCTACAACAACCACTGGAGCTAGGGAACGGACACCCTGATCCTACAGAAGTCATTTTGACCACTGGCACACAGAGAAAGACCTTGTTTAAAATGTAGCAAACCCAGACTTCATGATCCAAGGAGTAGCTAAAAAATAATATAAACCTTAAGCTTAAAATTTCTGTGAGGAACCCAGCTGAAAAATAAATTCATAATCATTTTCAGATACTTATTTTTAAAATATTGGTGATGTATTGATATAAGCTTGTGAGTTTAAAGCCCTTCTCCTAAGTTCGCTGAGAGTTCAGACAAAATCAAAACAGGCAGAGCTGCACGTCATCTCTGCTCTGTGCCACTGAACTGGAGCCCAAGGTAGTCGGGCCCCTTTCTCCCTCTTCTCGATCACTGTGACTCACAGCATGCTCCAGAAAGAGATAATATTATTCCTAGAGAGAGACTGTATCTTCAGTGTCTGCTGCAAAGTCCCCTAACTAAATAAAAGAAACTTGAGCTGCTAATATTTATTCATAATATTGAGCTTCTTGCAGGCACAGTGATACACATACGCTCATTTCCACTGGAACAAGAAGTTCAAGCAAAATTCAGGCAAAAATAGGTCACATAAAGAGCAATACCTCTGCAGGAGTGGTCCATCTTGTTGTATTTGAAGTACCCACTTTTGCACTGGCAGAGCGCGACTCCGTCGAAGTCGGTGCATTCAGAAGTTTCCTTGTCACATTCGGGGTCTTTCTGCCTGCACAAGCTGCCAACTGTCGGGAAGAGGCAGCCAACGTCAGCGCAGTTCTCTCTGAACCCAACGTTACGCACATTTGCTTTACCCAGGCACCACATTCAGCTCGTGAGCTGCTTTAATCCCTTCTCTTTTTTTTTTTTTTTTTTTTTTTTTTTAAAAATATTTTTTTCCCTCAGGAGACACTCACACGTTTTTATACAACTGGTCTGGCTGGTTAAAAGAACACAAAATGTGCAAACCCAGTCCCAAGAGGACCGTATCAAGAAAGAAATAAAATCTCACACATAACAGGCACCTTCATGGACATTGACTTGAAGAACAAGCCCATATAATAAAAAGTGTTTCCTATTCAATATGCACACTAATTGGAACTACTGGTATTACAATTTTTTTTTTTTTTTTTTTTTTTAAATAATATTTGTTCCATTAGGAGACAGTCAACATTACACTACGTCACCGTACATATCTACCGTCATTTACACAGGCAAATAGAGGGGGCAAATATAAATGTTTCGGCTCAGAGGCGGAAGGGGAAATGAAAAAGAAAAATTTGGTTTGGTGCAAGCTGAAACACATTCACCCCCTGAGATAGTTCAACAAATCCATTTTTACGTTTATATCAAGCAAAACATTTTGCTCAGCCCTGAACAATTTTTTTCCATTTCTCTATTAAGCACTGGATTTTTTCATTTTTCAGGCACAGAATTTGTCCTTTCATTTACATTCCTTTGAAGCAGTGTTTTACTTTAGAAAGTCAGATTTGTTACAATGAGCATTCAGCAAAACTGTGGGTGAATGATGGAAATTGTGTCACCAAATCTACATTTTTTACTGGGAGGTCAGACTAAATGGAATGAACGAATGAAAAAATATTCATGAGAAACAGGATTTTATGGAAAACATGTCACTCGTTTGGCACTCACCTTTTATAAACCTCTCCCTGCTATATCCATCAGCTTTTTTTTTTTTTTTTTGATCTGACACCTTTTCTTTTAAGTACTTATACAAGAACATAATTTGTTTCTTATTCTGCTTATTTCAAGTTAGAAGTAGACTTTACCAGAAGCATTGTATCAGAGGTAATGGCTAGATACAATCTGAGCGGGTCTACCAAAACAATTTAATTCAATCCACGGTGCAGCATGGCTTCAAAACAGGGCACGTTAAATTAAAGGCACATGCTAAATTTCTCATCTTTGTGTTTACTTTGCCAAAACAATCCAAGGGGTTTTCCACTACACCCGGGCTAAGCACTGATGGCCTTCATCCTCAAATCCAAACCTCAAAGCCTCGGGCCCTGAAGTCACAGAGCTCCACATGCAGAGGTTTCCTTGCAGGAGCCGATCTTCCAAGGGTGCTCACTCCCTGCATCCTGCGGTACCTCTCATGGCTAAATCTCCTCTATTGCTCCCTCGGGAAGCAAGGACTGGGAGGTGTAGGGCACAGGGCCACCACCTACCAGGAGAAGGTCCTGCACAACACCAATGTGCTTCCCCAGGTCCCTGTTCCCGTTTGGCAGGTAGAGGATTCCGTACAGAAATCAAAAGCTCTTAATTGTGAACCATTTTTACACCCTGCAACACTGAGATTGGGCAGGCAGGAGAGCGCAGCTCCCCACATAGCCTTCAGGGGCTCTAATCAGCTTCACTGAGGGGGTTTGTCTCTTGGCTTTCACACCATTTCCCTGGCTCCTGGAATTAAGATTTATGGGGTTTTGATCTGGCCGGGGCCTGGTGTCACATCCCAGAGATGAAAGGCTGCCCTACAATGCCTCTAATCCTGTGCTGGGCGATGTTTTCACAGAGAGGCAGATTTCTCACATATGCGGCGAAGATAAGGCTCCGTATCTGCACCCCTTTTGTGCTGCGTGGCTCTTAAGGTGGCTCTCATTTAAATAAGATAAAAAAGATTCAGAGGGGTTTTTCCAGATGCCAAAATCTTTCTCCCCCTGTTATAAAAGAAGCCAAATAAAACATCCCTTTCCCTTCCCATCCCCATCACAGTCCCTCCAGATGCTATTTACCTCTGTGGAGCAGTTTCAGGCTGGAGATGAACTGGCAGGTTTCGGTGGGGGATTTGCAAGCTCGAATGTAGCTTTTCACGCTGCTGACAACGTCATAGAAAGTCACGTTGGATGCTAAAGAGAACGTGGATTGCACTGAAACATGCACAAAATTTGCCTCCCTAACAGAAAACAAAACAAAACAGCCCTGAGTACCACAGGTCAGTCTGATGTCATCGTTAGCACCTTACATGTAGGATGCTTATTAACGCACATTATACATAGGACTCAACACAAGTGATGCTTATCACAGACACGCACACATACTGAAACAGCCGTGCATTGTAACAGACCTTAAAAACAGGACAAGCTTACACACAGAGAGGTAAATTTGGGGCTGGAAGGGGTGCTGGTAGCTCACTTTGAACCCAGCCATAAATGACTCCTGGGCAGCTCACAAGCCCGTCCCCAAGTCGCTCAGGCCAGGAGGGTACCGGGAGAGCCAGGCAAGGTGGTCAGGCATTCCCCATGCCCCGCGCTACCGCTGGGCTGGATTGCGTCAAGCCCAGACCCAACTCAAAATGAAGAACATGGATCTCAAGTTGAACATCCCAAACACTCACGTTTCTCATTCTTCCCCTGGTAGCCTTCGCCTTACCTGGTCGCCTTAACTGTGGAGTGGTGGTACCCCGGCAAGCCTGAGAGGGATCCATTCAGCTGCAAGGAAGGAGAGAGCAGCTGTTAGTGCCCCGGGGGATGATGGAGGGAGGCAGCCCAGCAGGACAAAGCACATGAGGGCCCTCCTGGGTCACTGACAGCACCCCCTGCCTTCGCCAGAGCTGCCTGCTGAGGCCGAGGGGGCTCTGAGCATCCCAGCAGTTCATCTGCTCAATATGAAATATGCACTGTCCTGTTGCCAGCAAGGGACGGACAAAGTCACCATCGCACAGCCTTGGACAGGAACAAAGACCTGGGGATTTTGATGTGAGCATCTGCCTAAGGCCCCAGTGTGCAATGACCGCAAAGGCCGAGGACGAGCCAGAAGCCAGCAGGGAGAGAGCCCAGCACGAGGCCAAACTCAAAGTGGTGCCCTTGGAGGCTGCACATCTTCCGAGGAGCCTTCCTCTCCCGGGATCCAGGTGGTTGGTTGTGTTCACTCCCCAGCATGAGCCACACAGGCAGCATCAAGGTGACTGACCCCAGCTCCCCCCTCCTTTGGCAGCATCTCCAAATCACCCACTCCAAAAAGAGCTGGGATGAACTGCAGCCAGCCCAGGAACTGCTAACAGGATGAACCCATACATGCAATGATCTCGTTCAAAAACACACAGAGACAGACCTATCCCCAGCCCAGGGATCTTTTTGGAGCAACTGATGGCACAGCCTCACCCAGCGCTTGCTCTCAACTGACTGAGGGCCACCTGGTTGCGTTACGATGGCTGGGAAACGCCACCAAGTGGAAAGTGTGTTTGGATGGGTGGTGCTGCTGCTGTGCTTTCATCCCATGGGTTTTGGCTAAGAGCAAGGTGCCATCAGCTGCAGTCCAAGCCGCCTCAGCACCTGTGAGATTTACCGATGAATGATGAAGCCCAGAGTTACTGTTTTAATGTTTGACATTGGAGGAGCACTAGCACCCTTTCGAGGTCTGGAATGAATGGCAATGAAGCCAGAAAACACTAGGAAAAGGTGGAGGCTACAGGAGCATGAACCCAGCCACACCACTTCACGAAAAGGGCTTCAGGATTTTCTGGGCACATATGCTGTCTTAAGCCCCACAGAAGATGGATCTCTCCGCTGCTGTCTTGACAGCCTGGGCAGAGCAGGGGAGAGAAGCGTGCTGGGATTTAAAAGCATACGTCTCACCAGTCCTACTTACACCAGACCAGGCTTAATAATTAAATGATTAAAAGGGCTGAATCCATGCTACAGAGTCTCGTGGCTTCCCATGACAACTGTAAGAGGAGCGAAGGTGACTTGTCCCATCAGCATTGCCAAAGTCCCAGCAATGACACTCACCAGCGCCAGGATTTCACCCTCGATGTGGAGGAGCTCTGTGTACTTCCCATGAGTACTATTAGGTTTCAGGGGGACTTGGCCAACGAATGTTCTTACTAAAATGAAGAATAAGACAAGTTATTTGGAACACATCTCCATGCTACATGTTGCTGCGGTTTCATCCACCTTACATGAGAGACTGTCTGCATGGAAAACCCCTTCACGCAGCAGACAGAAAACTCACATCTGAGAGTCACTGCCCCAGTAAAGCAAAGTCCCAGCCTTGGGATATTTCCCAAGGGTTGCTGCAATATTCCCACAGCCCCAGTCAAATTCCAGAGCTCAGTGCTGCTGAACAGCCACCATTTCATCACAGCGTTTATACATTTCATACAGAAACACAGACTAATTTAGAAGGACCCCTGAACACAGAGGGAGCTGGGTAAATTTAGTAACAAGACAGTTTCAGGTACAGAAGTTATTTATAATAATTTGGGGTAAATGTGACAAATCTTTTAGCCCTCCCTGCAATGGAAAGAAAGCAAATCAGCGAGTCAAAATAAAGCACTGTAGAAAGGACGTTTTCATTTTTCAAATTGTTGGACAGAATGAGCAATGACATTTGAAAAGAGGTCCAAAAGATGCATTTTTCCATGCTTAGATTCGTATTTGATTCATGGCAGCAGAATGCAATAATCTGAGCTGTCCAGACTCAGAGAGATAATATCCCTAAATCTTGTATTAAGTGTCATGAGATACTCGGTGGAAATGAGAACTCAGAGCTCCAGTTTTATGTTCCACCAGAAAAACAAATACGGTTGCAGATAACATTATAAAGCCTCCAATTCCTTCCCATTTTTTCCCATCCACGGAGCCTATCTTCACCACAAATTTTATATCAGACAGTTCTAATGTAACAACTCCGGGTAAAAATAAGATGAGAATCACCTTCACAGTATTTATATAATCTGCCCATATCCCAGCTCAAGGCATAATCAAAACAACTCTCTAAATTAGAAGCTGACACATTCCATCTCAAAGAAATGTTTCAAAACACCCTTCAGGGACACCTCACCCATGTTTCCTTAGCAAAATTTCCATGCCTCTAATCCTCGCTGATTAAGGGTCAGAAGAAACTCTAGCAAAACAAATTCCCCTTTACAATGGGACATTGTAAGTCCTTGAGGTGGCGAGTCCTCTAATAGAAAGGAGGGGGTCAGAACCTGAGTTCCAGCTAATAACTGTGCTGCATGAAAAATGCTAAAGGTACGAAACAAGACCTTGATCTTACAAAGACTTTCACGGCTGCTTAATTTTCCGCACATGGCTGATCCCACTGAAGCCAGGCTACACAATAGCCCCACTCACTTCTCCCAGGCCAAGCGCCGTCGCCCGGGTTTGCAGGGCTGGAAGCTACGATAAGCTGCTGAACGCTTTCTGGGGGTTGTAAAACACGTCAGGAACAGAAGGGGCACATCTGTCCTTACTAACAAGCCTGAGCCCACCGCTCTGTTGCTGTGTTTTTAAGAAACCCTCGGCTATCACTGCGCCTGCTCCCCAGGGCACCCCAACACGACGGGTATTAGACACTGCACTTGTATAAACAGTAAAAGGCTCTTGTTAAAAGTGGTGGTTGGGAGGAACATTAAGCTCCTGAACTAGTCTGAGCCTAGGTTAATTTATTTTAGAAGACTGCAGGTAATTATTTCCATCTTTTTCTCCCCTGGTTTTTCACTTCTGTTTTCTTACCTAAATTGCACTTTCCCTTTTCCAGCTCATATCCAAGAGGACACTGACAGATATAGGAGCCGTGGGTGTTGTTGCAGGTGGCCAGCGCAGGACAAGGGTTGGAAAGACATCTATCCACATCTACAAAAGCAGAAAAAAACCCAGAATCACAAAACTCATCAACTGTTGGGCTAAAAAAGATTAACTTGGCTCCTCTTCTCTGACCCCCCCCCACCCCACCCCACCCCACCCCAAGCAAAATCAGATGCTTCATTGCATCATTCGCACTTACTGTTTACCCCGTTCTTAATTATTTTGTTGGAGCTGAAAGAATAAATACAAACCACTTTCTCTTGAATAATGACTCAAAAGCCCTTGGGATCCAGTGTTGATCCATGTTAACATGAACACACAGCTTGTCTACAGCACTACTCATCTGCAGATCTTGGGGTGCTTCTCAAAGACAAACAACCCTACGGTTGTGGATGGAGAGACCAAAGAAGGGACCTCAATGGCCAGAGCTAGACATGGGAGCATGGGCATGGGCTCCTTCACCAAAGTCCTGCCCTTTTTAACCAAGCCCTGTTTCCATGTTCCAAAGCTAGTGCTTGAGCACTGATGCAATCTGTAGATTACCCAGTGATGGTGGAGGCAGCCCTGGCTGCCATCACATCCTTTACCAGGCTGCAGCCTCCTCCACACCGGGCTGGGGATGGTCACAGCAGCAACCCCAGCCTGTGCCACTGCTCGTAATGCACTTACTGCTGGGTGAGCAAGGGCTTGGAGAGCAGACACCAACTGTGAAATACGGATTATCAGGGGATTAATGACTGTAGTTTCAGATGCTTCATAAATTAGCCAACTCAAACTGCAAATTCTGGAGAAGATATGCAATACTTCCCTTTGAAAAAAAAAACCAAACACGTCCTGGTCAAAAACACTCCTCTTGCTGTGCGTATGGCTCGCACGAGCACAAACACACATCACACAAGCATGCAAGGGCAGGCCGCAGGCAGGACTGTGGACTTGTTGGCGACAAGGTGCTACAAGATGAGCCAGACAGTCACACACCGCTGGTACCTATTTTGCAGCGATGGCCGAGCACTGTAGCAGAAGCAGGAAGGATGGGCTTTGCAGTTAAAGCACGAAGCACAAGAGCCAAACCCATGTGGGGGTTTCTGGCAGTGCCACGATACCCTATGGCATCACGCAGGCCCTGCAGACCAGGCAGTCCCAAGTCAGCCTATGCCAGGACACGCCATTTGATGGCACAGCTACACCAGCACCAGCGAGAAGATTTGGTGTCTCTGATCCAAGCAGCCAGAAATGAGTGGGCGTATGGATTTCATACGCTGGATTTTCAAAACGCTGGATTTCACTTTGCCATCCTTCAGTTTGTGCTTTGTACAGTGGGGCCCAGGGTGGCTTCTTCTCTTGTGGCAGCGAGTGCCCAGGTACAAAGCACCACGTGCAAGGCAGCAAAAGGATCTTTTGCATTCTGGGAAATGGCAAAACTCAGTATATAAAGGAAAGAGTAACTTGTGTGAATCAGTTGGTAAAAAGGATATGTTACCTTAATTTTTCAACAAAAAAAATCCATCCCCCTACAGTGAATTTTTTTGCATGAAGCCATAGCTATAATTAAAACCAATCAGCCTGAGAAATAACCTTTAAATACTTAATTATTAGATGAAATACATATTAATGCCAATATTTCACTGAGATTAATGCAATTAGCACGCACAATATCCTACAGTGGCACAAGGGTCAGGCTCCTGAGCTTTAAACACACAATAGATTTCCATTCATATAAAACTTCGGTCTATGTCTTTACTTGGGAAGATAAGGAGCTTGGCGGCGGTAATAAATGACTGTAACAACACACCCAGCAAGACTATGGCACGTAGCCTACCAGGAGAAGCAACAGACCCTTGAGTAGGAGATTATTTATGAGATGGGGAGAAAATGACCATAGGTCGTAATAACAGGAGACGTTCCAACACAAATACCAAGAGCTGCCCAACTGCCTTTTCTCAGGAGTAAGATAGATATTGATTGATATCAATCGATATTGTCGACCAATCAACAAATACAAAATGCATCCTACACTTACCTGGAAGACCAGTCAGCTTTATTTTCTTAAAATTCTAAAATTTCAGCTTAACGTTTCTATCAGAAATGTTCACCAAAACGCTCACCCTTTTCCAGCAGTTCAGCTTGATTGCTAAACCCTTAGCCTAAAAATACCAACAAGGAGACCAAGTTCTTATCCTCAAACTCTGCTGACAACAGACTTATACATACATATATAACTTTCCAAAGACCCTTAAAGTGGGACCCAGGTGTTCCTGGACCCCTCATCCCTGGCCCCACCACTGATGAGTACCATCAGACATGTTACCTGTTGCCAGAGACGATGTCCTCAGCCTAGTTGTGCTACTTGATGGAGGAACAGTGGTTGGTTTGGTAGCAGCCAAAGTAGTTGCAATGTTCACAGTGGTCTTGCTGGTGGGAGGGGCTTCAGAAGGACTCGTAGCAGGGATGTTTTTCTCGGTGACTTTACCAGGCCTTACAGTGGTGGGATCCACAGCTTCTGTGCTTTCACCAGTGGTATACACATGCTTAGTGGCAATGGGCGTTTGAGCTCTGTGGGCTTTCATGGTGCTAGCATCACCTGAGGTTGGTCGGTGACTGGCTGGTGTTGTCAGCACAGGAGGTTTCACTGTGGTCAGTGCCACCGCAGGGATGATGACACTGTGGTTTGTTGCACTTGGTGAGGGACGAAGGGGTGCATCCGTTGGCCCAGCCCGTGGGGCATTGCTGGCCATGGTAAGCAGCGATGTCACCTTCCCAAAGCTGCCTCCCTGGGTGGTGGTAGCTCTCGGCGAGGCGGTGTCCATTACCATCGCAGGAGCAGACACAGTCACAATGTTTCCACCAAGCAGCTCCATGGGCACCGTGGGGAGATGAGGGGACCCAGTGGAGATGAAGGTGGTGCTGTTTTGGGGCTGGTGCGTGACATTGTGCTTGTCGGTCCCTCTGGGCAAGCTTCTGACCACAGTGGCTGTGGAGTGCACCCGCCTGACCACAGTCGTAGCTACAGAGGTGCTTGCCTCATCACTGTCGTTGGACTGCGAGACGGATGATGGTGATGAAAACAGAGGCAATAAAGATGCTAATGAATAAGATGAGGAAAGCAATGAGGAAGTGGGTGAGGAGGACGACAAAGCCTGCAGAGGGGGTGAAGATGCCATCGCAGAGGATGAGAGTGGCTCAGGTGACTCTGATGATGTAAACAAATAAGTTGGTGATGGTGTTGATGACGGCGAGTGATGCAGCGATGACACCGAGGAAGAGGCTGGAAATGCTGATGAAGATAGAGATGATCTGCCAGTGGTCAACAACTCAGAGTCAGTGTTGAAGAGAGTTGTATTTTGTACACTGCCAGCAGAAGCAGAAGTCAACAGTTCGGAAGAGTGTACCAGCAACGGCTCTGTAGATGGTTCAACAAGACTGCCATTGCTGGACATGTTGCTCCTCCTGTCCTGTGCCACAGAAGACTTCGATGGATCAGAAGGGTTGGAAATTTCAGAAAAAAAGGTGGAACTTTCCGAGGATTCAGCAGAGGTGCTGCTATTCGAGATAGACAGGAGAGTCCTTTCTCCTCCTCTGGTATATGTGGTTGAAATGTATGTGCCATCCGTATGAGAAACCGAGGTTCGTTTCTCAGCATCAATGCTACTGACTGGCTGATGGCTACTTGAAAAGCCTGGAGTAAAAGGACAAAATACATTAGAAAGACAGAGTAATATGAAAGTATTTTGATGTCATATTAAAATCACTTGCTAAATACATAAAATGTTCTTGTCTGTGAACCAGCCCATGTTCTACTAACAATTTAGAGCACCATGCAAGCAAGGTTATCGAATTAGGAGTCCTCTGCACTTTGTAATTCATTCTAAAATGATGAACTCAGACAGAGACAAGGCTCCCATGAAACACATAGGTTTCTAAAACACTATTCTTCCAGTATTGCTTTTCTAACGGGATTGAGCACTTAGCATTCTGTGATATTTTATGGCAAGCTAAGCAGGAAAACCCATCTGTTCTCTTTATCACTCATAATTTATAAAACTCATATCATCTCCCTCTTATCCTCCATTCCTAACGAAAGAATATCCATCTTCTTCAGTCGGTTTGTTTTTAGACACAGTGAACTTCATGCCTCTGCAGGATGAAATTATTACATTATGTTAATTTGCAGCTTATCATGAACTCATTGATTGAAAACTTTGCAGTCAGGAAATCCTAAATGAGTAGCACATCAGTCTGCAAAAAAATCAGATTATTTAGCATAAAAGATGCAGTCAATCTTACAATACAAATTTCAGGATGTACAGCTAAATTCAGCAATCTCTAAAAATAAAAAATAGAGTATTGATAATTTGGTGTAATTCTATACTTGACTTAGGTCATAACGAAACGCTTCTGAAAGCATCACCCTAAAGAAACCAGCTAGGCTGCAAAAAAATAACGTGGCCATCAAAACAGGAGAGTTTCCCTGCGCAGTTTCATGGCTTCACTTCTGGAACGATTCCCCAGCCAGGTGGGGTCTGGCTTTGAGTCCTTTGATGAAAACATCCGCCTGAGTGTACCTGCAGGTGGCATTGCATGTACTAATGAACGAGAACTTTGTATACAACACAGATAAATGCAGAACAAAGTGAACTTCCCCGGCTAGAACGTATGCTGGGAGACACTAACTTACTTGTGAGATCGTTTTGGAAAGAAGAAGTGGGGATCTTGGAAGAACGTGCGAAGAGTGTCTCCGTTGCAAAGCCTCCAAAGCCCCCACTGCTGGTGGAGGCATTGGCCGTCCTGTTCTGCTCCATCAATGCTGGCTGAGCCGGCCCTGAAGAGCTGGCAGTTTCGGTGTCGGAAGCGGAGCTCTCTGTGCCACTGGCCAGTGCACCATCCGTCACCGAGTGCAGCATCCTCTCTTCACCGCCAGCAGACACAGACGAACCGTACACAGGATTGGTGATGGTGATGGTGCTGGACATTCCTTCCTCAGCACTCGAGCTGCCTAGGGAGTGATGGCTGCTGCCCACGGCTGGAATAGGATTGAAAAGCAGGCATCTGATTTTATCATCTCAGAGCAGAGAGCACTTGTGAGTTCTACAATAATTCTGTTTGGAAATGCAGACTAATAAAATTGCACAGGTAAACCTGCATTAAATACAGATTAAGTAGATCTCACATATCTATCACCTTAAATGTGGATTTAACACACAGAGCCTACTCCAAAGAAAGAGGACTGTCCAAATACAGTGGGACAACTGGTACCAGTAGAGTCATAATGGCATATTTATGTTATCTATAATTATCACCCCAACCCAGGCAGGGAGCAGATGTGTCCTACAGCAAGAAGCTACACGTCTCATTCCTGAGACTTTTTTTGTTAAACGTCAGCAGCTGCAGATATCCAACACCAAGGAGCAGAATCACCACCACTTATAAATCCTGCCCACGACACCCACAACAGCTCTGACACGTGTTGGTGTCATATCAACCCAGGGAAGAGGGGAAGGGAGAGGCAGTGGGGGTTTTCCTAATTCAAATGCCATCCTGGAGTTCAGAAAGACTCACTGGAAGGTTCACCAGTGGCTGGGAAGTAGGTGGAGACCCTGGATGAAAGGGTGCCCTTGGGTTCAGGGTACCCTGCTCGGCTGGATGAGACATGTCCCGCTCCAGGCCATGCCGTGGAGGATGGGAGGGAGCCAGTGCTGGTCTCCCTGGCCATGTCCGGGTGAGACGTGGGGCTTTCCGCTGCTGTGCTCCACATGCCGCGGTTAGCTGCAGCCTGAGATGTCCCCTCCTTGTGGCTGGAGAGTGTGGTCGAGATGTACATGGTCTCAGTAGGAACACCAGAAATTATTCTTCCTCTCTCTGGAATTGCAAAGCAGAGATATACATGTGTGTATATATAAAAATATATATAGTTTGTATATTAATAATACCTTTGAGGCCTCAACAGGGACAAAAGTCTGAATATTTCAATCCCCACAGCAGAGGTGGCACTTGGTGACCAACACCACTTATTTGCTAAGTAGGGTTCCCAGGGTGATCTGTACTTTTCCCCTTTACACCAGAAAAATAAAACAGACTGGGGTGCATGGCCTTTCTGAAGGAGAACAGTGGCAGGGAGGTAGGACCTGGTCTCGAACGTCCTGCAGAAAATTCCCTTGGGTGGACCAGTGGATTTCAAACCACCTCTGGTGGGACCCTGGCAGGAGAGCTGAGGCTGAAACACACGATAACTGGGGTATAAGGAACAGTGAAAGGTCTGCCGATCCCTTACCACATCTCATGCCAGGCTCCCCTGGTTTGAGGGCTGACATCAAGGCTCCATGGCAGACTTCACATGTGGCCCAGAAGAGCTGCCTGGCCACCTGGTTCCCAACATGAAGAAGTGATGCCCCAAGTGCCATGAGGCAAATGACTCACCGACCGTGCAGTGCTCAGACGCCCTTCACTGTAAACCAGGCTTACTAAAAAGGCAACTCTAGTTTAAAGCTAGAAAAGGGAGGGTGGGAGCTCGGGAGCAGGGCGAGGAGGAGGGATGTCCCCCATGGCAAACTGGGAAACCACAAGACCCACCTGAAGCACTTGGTGATGTCAAAGGCACTGAAATGCTGGGAGAAAATGCAGGCAGCAGCTTCGTTGGAAGCTCACCGAGTCCGGCACCACTCTGCGAAACATTGCTCTGCCTCCCAGGCTCTGTTGCCGATGAGGATGGCAGAAGGACCACATCCAAGGAGCTGGTGCGGGGCAGAGCGGGAGTGGAGCTCCCTGCCGCGCTGGATGCTGTGCGGGTATCTGACATGGGCACTGTGCTCCTCTCCCCACTGCTGGTGGCTATCACTGAGCTGGGCGTACTGGTGAGAGGAGCATTGGGCAGGCGTCCTCCCATAGCCAAGGTCCCTCCTGCTGAGAAAGGGCAAAGCAAAATGGATTTATTCACCCTAACCTATAAACAGGGGGGTGTGCTCGCTTCCATCACCACCCTTAGGCTGACAGCACAGATATAACATGGCAGAAGGTCCAAACCTGGAGAAAACGCTAACTGTGAAGACACAACCCTTCCCTGTGCAAGGAGGTGCTGCTCACCGGAGGACACCCTGAAGAGGGCACTAGGAACAAGTTATGGGAGGACTGTTGGGTTTGCTTCCCTTCGGCACCTCTCCTGGCATTGCACTCCAGCCGCAGGCACCACACACCTGCACGGCCACTGGCGACTGAGGTGGGGTTATGGCAGCACCTAGCTCCCTGATTTAATCCTAAACAAAGCTCAGCAGGGCTGTACGGGGTCAGTAAATGCTGCACTTGCATCCCAAGGTGGGAGTTGGAACTGGCGTTGCCTCCTGCTTGTAGAAACACAGTCAACAGGGCAGAAATTGTGCTGCCTCCGAAAACACACCAAATCTGAGGGCCAGACTGCTCTTGCAGTAAGGCTGGGTTTTTCTGGCGACTAAATCCAAAGAACAGCTAATGCATTTTTCTCTGGAAGTTGAAATTTTCCTCCATAATGCCCAATGCCATTGTCCAGAACCTTCTAGCATGTCCTCACTCCTCCACACAGAGCAGAGGTTTGAGGTGTACAGGAAGAGGCCCCATGGGGATGTCAGAGCTCACCTGGGGAAGTGCTTTCCGAAGCAGACGGCGAGCCTGTGAGCAACGGGTCCATGGACGACACGGTGGCACCTCTGCCACCTCCACCCTGGGCTCCCAAAGTGGACTGCGTATGGTCTGGAGAGCTGATGGTTTCAGCACCAGTGGTGGAAATCTCTGCTGTTTGGGCCAGTCTGGTGCTGGCTGGCAGAGACCGTAACGTCCTCCCTCCACTCTTGGTGGCTGTTGTGGAAATGGAGGTACTGGTGGTAGGGAAATCGGTTCTCCTCTCTGTTGACAGGATGCTGAATGGCACATGGCTGCTTCCAGTAGCTAAGACATGATAAAGAAACAATTTACATTTTTACACATGGGAAACTATAAACAGACGAGCTTCCTTCCAGTAACACCCAGAGGCAGCAAGTACATAGACAAGTAGAAAATATGAGAAGATGTCAATCCAGAGAAAATAGGAAATTTCCAAAGACGTGAATCCTTCCTACAGAAATTTGTCTTCTAAAAAAACATGGTTTGATGCTGAGAAAAGTGCTGTTATACAAAAACTGTGGAACTACTAACACTGCGCACTTGATTTCACTGTTACGTGCCTGAGTGCACTCCACATTGCTAGAATAAATACCGTAACAACCCAGAAAAGCCTGGAAATCAGTTCAGACAAGGCACAAGGCCGAGAAGGGTGAAGGTCTTAGAGAATAAGTCTGAAGAAATGGGTTCAGGGGGATCAGACCCCTTCAGCACTGCAGTGGGGTCTAGGACCAAACAGTACCATGAAGGACCTCAGAGACCACATTCAAAGTTGCCTTAAATTTGTTGAACTGGTTCGAGTTCTGGGAAGCAACATGGTCCAAGGGGTAGGACAGAGGGCAGGAACTGAAGTCTGGTCCCTGGGACTGCAGGGACATGATTTAATCGTCCCTTGCTTAGTTCTCTTGCCTGTAAAATGGAGATAGCAACTGAAGATGGTAAAAAAAATAATAAATTGTGATTTGAAAGTTAGGTATTTTTCTTGGCATAATGAAACTTTCCACACATGTGTCCCTTCTGTAAAAAACCCAAACCGCGTTTTTCAGTCAAGCAAGAGCTGAAATATTTCAGACACAAAAATCACACTGCATCCTTCCAAACAATATATTCTGCACAGCTGTCACAGCTTTTGACAGCAGAAAAGAGTCAGGCGAGTGTAAGACACAATTACAGTCCTCCTTTTACTTACAATAAAAATGGTATTTCACTTCTAACCTGAACTTACCTGGGGAAGGACCTTCCGAAAGGGAGTGTGTTAGCAAAGAGTCTGACACCTGCTCCGTGAAATCCGTGGTTTCTCTGGACCCATGGATTCCATAGGTCTCTCGCTCAGAAGAGGCGGATGAGGATCGGATTGTGCCCAAGGACCTGTACGTGCCACTGCTGGACGTGGAGACTTCTGCTGCCCATCGGCTGCTGCCTGTGGCGGACCTCGGGGGCCTCCCGCCACTGCCGGTGGCCATGGCTGAAATGAAAGCGCTGGTGGGAGAGGAAGCAATGTGGTTTTTCTCTGTCGTTGAGCTGTTAACTGGTCTGTGGCTGCTTCTGACACCTAAGATACAATAAAACCTGGTTTGATTTGTGCATAAATACATTTGAGGGATTGTTTGCACAGTCTATGTACAATGTTCACTGAGGTATGGAATAGACCAAGTTCTCAACCGGAAGAGGTGCTGCCCTGGGAAGAGGCGAATCCCCTATGTTTGGGCACATGTGGCTTACAAAAAGCCATGAAAATCACAACTTAAATCCACATTTTTTAACTGCAGGCTGTGTACAATACCAGATTTATGCAATTAAGGTGCCTTTGAGCCTGTTTAAATCAGGAGTATATACCTTTAACTTCAAAGAAACTCTAGAGGATGAGCTAAAAAAGGCCTGGTTTAGGTTTTCTAGTGACAGACCAGAGAGCCAAGCTGCCGTCTCAGTGCCAGGCTGATGGCATGGCCATGGGGCCAACCCCACACAGCACCGAGCACCCAAGACCACACAGGGCTGGACACATCCTCACCCATAAGATGCTCGGAAACATCCCAGCACCCCATAAGATGCTCAGAAACATCCCAGCACCCCAGCCTGGTGCTCGACCCAGCCCGATTCACCCCCTGTTTAGCAGGCATGCTGCCCCAGGGCTCTCCCAAACTGCAGCGCTGGGGATGCCAGTATTTCACCAGCTCACCTGGAGCAGGCACTGTACCACGACTCGCAAAGTGACGGCCTTAATTGTGAATTAATGGTGAATGGTGGGGCAGAGCTCACTTGGGACCACTCCAAGGGCACGGTGCGAGGCTGTGGCTGCCGCGGACTCCCAAAATGCTGCCTCTCTCACAGACCAGCCTGCACGGCAGACACAGCCCCAGGCAATGGCTGCAAATCCCCAGCAAAAGGAAAAAGTGCATGCATGTATTTCTAAACAACGGCTGCTTTTCCCAGCACAGGAGTTTCATTAGCAATGAGGACATCGATGTTTTTCACTTTTTCACCCAAAAGCTGAGATCCACTCCCACCCTTCCCCCCAGCCCTGCTGCCAGCCCGAGGCAGCCAGTAATAAAAATACCCACATATCCAATAGCAACTGATGGCCGTATCTAAAGAAAAACAGCATGGGAATGTGAAATTGCATCCAACCCCAAAGCAGGCAACTTTCAGACCAACAAATTTACCTCTGAAAGTGCCTTCAGAAGCAGAGAGGGAGCTTGTGAGCAAAGGTTCCCCGGGAGGTGCTGGGAGATCGGTGGCTTCCCGTGAGCCATTGGGACGGTGTGTCCCAGCCCCCGAGGAGGAGAAGGTCTCCCCCAAAGAGCTGGTGGGGTTGGTGCTGGTGGCAGAGCCCCTTGTCACCCCGGCTGTACGGCCATTTGGGGGGGACCCTGGTGCCCCTACTGCCATGCTGGTCACGTCAGCACCACGGGCGTCCGAGGGCAGCGTCGCCTCCTCTGCAGCTGGGATGCTCTTGGGTTCGTAATTGCTGCTAAGGGCTAAAAAAAGGAGAACAGAAACATAAAACTGCATACACGTAAATGAAAACAGCTGGGTAGGTTTTACCCCACTATCAGTAGATGCATACAATGGATGTGAGAATATTCAATACGGAAATATTTAATACCGGCAAATCATTAAGACAGGGGAAAAAAAAAATGTTCTCTCTATAGGAACTCCTGAGGTTATTGCTTGCAAAATTCAACTGAAAGTTTTCAAGGAAAATCTATCCTCCTCTTCCTACAAGAATAATATTTATCCATACTTTCATTTCTGTGAAATGTTTTTAAACGTACAGAATGTGCCAAATACAATATTATTCCTCCTTTCTTTAAAATAAAAAGGATGTATTTTGTTTATAAAGAGTCCTTAAATAATGTTCTGAGTTGTACAGCTAGCTATCAAAACTCACTCGTGGAAGCACTTTCCGAAGCAGATGGCAAGCCTGTGAGCAGCGGTTCTGTGGCACCTTTGCCGCCTCCACCCTGGGCTCCCAAAGATGTCCCAGGAGACCAGGTCCGGCCTGAAGAGCTGGTGATTTCAGTACCAGTGGTGGAAATCTCTGCTGTTTGAGCCAGTCTGGTGCTGGCTGGCAGAGACCGTAACGTCCTCCCTCCACCCTTGGTGGCTGTTGTGGAAACGGAGGTACTGGTGGCGGGGAAATCTGAAACTCTCCTCTCCGTGGCCAAGACGTTGGACGGCTGGTGGCTGCTTCCAATGGCTACGGCACAATAAAAATCCTGGATTTGTATGTATGAAATTATAAACAGATTGATCCATTTTCTTCCCAGATGCTTACAGCACACACACGGATATTAAACATAGGAAGTTTTCAATCTGGCCAAAGAACTGTTTTGGAAAGGCATGAATCCCCTCGCCACAGGAAGACCTTGCATAAAACCCAGGGCTCACCGCCAGGACGGCGCTGCTTTACGAGAGCCGGGGCAGCTCAGCCAGGGAGAAACCTCACGGGACAAGGGCTGCGGGGACTTGCCTTTAAATCCCATCTTTCCTCTAAGACTAGTGGAAATTGGCCCAGGCTCTCTTAGTATTTTTTTGGAGCTTGCATATCATATCAAACAGTAAAGAGGGGAAACCTGAGCATGGCCAGGCTCCCATATGAGCCTGCAGCTCACTATACATCCCAGGGCTTAATGGGACACATGGAAAAATGCTGAAGGAAGTGCAAACTCCAGCACAAAATAGGGTAAAACAACAACTTGTAGACTAACCAAGCTCACTGGCAGCAACTGGGTGAGAAGAGGCGAGCTGGTGCTCCATGGAGGGCCCGGGGAAACGTCCCCACGTCGGGGCCACTGAGGAGGGCACCGAGGCTGGGGGCTGAGCCGCGGAGCTGGGCGCTGCCCTTCGGATACTGGACCTCATGTTTTCTGCAGGCACACTGCTGTTCCCATCAGCTGTGGCAGAGGGAAGGGACATGTTAATGTGAGAGCCCTGGGGACGCATTTGCTCCTGGCAAGCCCTGGGTACAGGATAAGGACTTGGCAATGCCGAGGTTTTCTGTAAGTTCCTGTGGAGTGGGGCGAAGTCTCTGGTTTGAGGGCTCTAGAAATAGCTAGTTGTGAAGCAAATGAGGGGAAGATGTGGAGCCCAGGGATCTTGGGTTTGTTTTCCCATACAGGTTGTTGGACCACAGGCGTCTCACCCCATCTGGCCAAGAGCAAACCCACCCTGCGTGGCTATGACCATGGGTGCCCGACCGCACGCCCCACTACAGCACCACTCAGGTGGGAGACGCAGCTCAGGTGGGACTGGGACCTCGCCTTTGCTCTGCAGCTGGCACCGAACCAGCCCAGACATCTCGCAGCTGCAGTTGCCCACCCTGCAGGAAACACAGTCATAAGGTCCAAAGACACCCCCCTCTCCCCCTTTTTTTTTTAAGAGGAAAACATCGGGCGTTTTTGACCAAATTATTTTTTCCATTGCTTTTTCCTGCTTTCAGCAGGGAATTTCAGCTAACCACCCAAATAATCACACACAGAGTGCATGCAAAACACAGCATCTTCCCTGTTTCAAGAAGGCAAAAGCTGTATAAAGGCTTTCTAAAGCCGTGGGCCAGCAATGCTCACCTCCAAAAGCGCTGTCCGTGGCAGGCAATGCTGTGAGGATAGGGTTTGTGGTGTCCCCCATGACATCCTGGGCATCCAGTGCCACATGGTTCACACCAGTCTGGGTACTGGAAGCTTGCGGGGAAGACTGGAGCTGTCCCAGAGAGCCAGGGAGGGAGGTGCTGGGGAGAGGCCGCAGCGTCCCCCCGCTGCTCCCTGCTGGGCTGGGTGAAGTGGCTGTGGTACCCACCAGTTGAGAGGGGCCACCAGTGCCTGCAAGGCAATGGGGGAAAGCAAATGAGAGCACAGAGGTGGGCTGAGCTGCCCACCCAGCATCTTCTGCTGCCACCCTCCGCTTCCCCCTGCAGTCCCCTTGCCTGTCCTCTGCCTACAGCAACTTCGTGTTTGGGAGCTGCACCAAGTAATTCCTAACTTTCAAGGCCAGGAGAATCCACATGGATCCTCCTCTCTACCCTCGTGCATGAAGCCAGCCAGAAAACTGCACATGGTGAGGATGGAGGGCTGGATCCAGCACACAAAACTCTAGTAATGCAGGGAAGCCAGGCTTAACCGATGCCCAGCATCCACCTCGTTCCCAGGCTGAACTGGGATGGCTCACCTGGGGGATGAGTTTTTGCAGAAGGAGGCAGCAGCACCGTCCTTGTCGCATTGTCAAACCCTGCCATGTCCCGGGCCCTGTGGCGCCCGCCCAGCGTCCTCTCGGCCGAATCGGTGTTGATGGTTGACAAAACCTGTGACATCCTCTCAGCAGGGGTGTAGGGAGAAGCCAGAGCCCTCTTGTCTCTCCCCTGGCTGCCTGCAGCATGGTGATGGCTTTCAGTGGCTGGAAAGCAACACGGAGAGAGTCACGTTCCGCCTGGAGAAGTTAGCGTGACTCGGCTCGGGGCAGCAGCATCACCCGCAGTGGTACCCAGTGGGACCCTACCATAGGCAAAAGACAGGGTCACAGCAGCATCTCCTGTGTTTCCTCTATTTAACATAGAGCATAATGCAAGAGGGACTGTTGGGAAGAGGGTTTCTGTCACCAAAAAATATCGGTATTTCAAAATTTGTCTTCATTTGCCCATGGCAAGAGAAACAGATTTTATTTTTTTTTTTTAAACATTAAAAATACAAGGCAGTAAATAGCTTATGCTAGGATGGCCAGCAGCTGGCAGCCTGGGCGTGCCAGCTCCACACTCTAGTCCCTGAGCAGGAAAAAAAAATAATTAGGAATTAAAACATTAAAGACAAACTCTATGCTCATATCTCAGCGAGACACTTCATCTGGGGATATTAAGAAAAAACCTGAAATGGGGACAGGGCAACCAGCATAGCCTTGTCCTGCTGGTGTGGGAAACAGGCTTTGATTTAGTGCATACTTAAGGGAGTACGTTAGTTTACGCATGATCACAGTCCCACCAAAAGCGGTGAAGATTATGAACAAGCCCAAAGGTAAGTGTTCACTTCCATGATCTCCACGTGAAGACCTCAGCTACAAATCATGATGCAGCTGCTCAGATATTTTTAACTTGGGCCCTAGATTTTTAATCTAGGTTGAGTTTGCAATGGGGTTCAGCTCTTCCCAGGAGGAGGCATGGGGATGCAGGGGGGTCTCTGCTCTGCTTTGAGGTCCTCGGATGGGCAAGACTCTCTGGGGTGCTGCTGGGTGGTGAATAATGACAGTGGCAGCTCCCCAAAATTACCTTCACTGTAACATTAAAAAAAAACCCCAACAAACCAGCTTTGCCAGGATTGTATTTCTTCCAAAAATCTGAGTTTCTAGCAACAGGGCAAGAATACTTCCTAACCCACTGGCTACCCTTGGTCCGTCGGTGTCAATAAAACTCACCGGGAGGATGGCGGCGGGCAGGCAGGCGAGTCGGTGTCCCAGCAGATGGGCTATCCAACGGCTTTGCTCCCGACAGGGTGAAATCCCCACCACCAGCAGGGGGACTGACGTGCCCCGTGACCCCACTCGCTGCCGGCATCGCACCATGCCTGGCAGGCGACGATGCTTGCTCCCTGCTCCCGGCCGGCATCGTCACCAGCTCCATGCTGTCCACAAGAGCACCAGAAGTCCTTATCTCCATGTCTGAACTTCTTGCCTGGTGGCTGCTTTCAATGACTGAAGGGAAAACCAAGAAAAAATTAAAATCCCATCGGTCCTGGACATGCAGGCTGAGCTTGTTGAAGTAACACCGAGGCCAAGCTCTGATCTCATTTACACTGGAGAAAATTTTGCATAATCAAAACACAGACATGAAATTTATTTTTGGATTCACACCAATGGAAATTAGATTGGTCCGTGGGGCCAAATGCTGAAACCCACCTTTGTGTGTATTCACTTCAGCACCCCCACGCTTTTTTGTGTGTTAGGAGGAATAAATCTTTAAAGGAGAAAAAAAAAAGCCTTAAGCAAATAACCAAAGGAGATACGTGCAGTGTGGAGTCCATGGGAGGAGCATGTAGGTCTCCAGAGTTGATGGCCAGCTGGGGGCCAGCACAGCCCATGTGCCCCATCCTGCGGGCGTGATGAGAGCCGGGAGGGCCCCGCAGCTCTTCCCCTCTCTCCGCCCAGCCAGGGCTTGCTGGATGCCTGACCTCAAATGCCACTGCCTCCAGAGAGCCAGTGTGAAGCTGCCCAAGAGCTGCAGGGCAAGCAGAAGGGTTGGTGTAACTCATCCAGCCACCATAGGGCACCAGGGCAGAAGAGATCAACATATGGTGTGGATTACACTGGCCATCCAGGTGCTGAAGCACCCCAAGGTAATGGACATTTTGGCATATCTGACATTATTGTCTACCAGAACATGAGAAACAAGATGGAGAAGAAGTTTGTGCATTTGCAGGTCCATTTTCTGCGATCAAACGTGGCCAGAGCCCCTGCTCCATCCTAAAAGTGTTTGGGTCTGCTCTGTTGCTCCTGCTGGAAGACTGCTCCAAACTCCCACGTCTCCCATCATCCAGGATCGTTTTCTCATTTCATGAGAAAATTAATAACACAATTATGGAATAACTGGTTCCCAAGTTGGTTCCCAAGCCAGCATTAGCCTTTAGCTTAGCTCGCTTTTGCCCTCCCTCCGCTTGCTCCCCACTGTGCTGATGTGTAACAACATTAATCTCATCCCCTTTTTGCACAAATTTCTTCTGCATTTCTACCATCTGCTGTATGTCATGGACCCAAAAATGACTTCTCCCAGGGAGGTCAACCAGCATTACATGCTTTACAGGATTTCTAAAAGCACACAGATGGCTAGAATATAAACATGTTCCCAAACCGGGCCCTAAGCAAGGACTGAAGACATTACTCAGTAGCCAACTTCTCAGCTCAATCATTAACGCGGTCGCTGTAGCTTCAGCCTTGGGTCTGCCATCCAGCCTGATACTGCCTGGCATGGAGCATCTACTGACAGCTGCCATGAGTGGTTCCAGTGAGATTTCCCAGGGGAACTGGGGTTTCCAGCCTGCTGTACCAGCCACGGCTGCTGAGGGATTTCCCTGCACATCAGTCACATGAAAACTAGCAGCGACTGTCCCTGCCCTACGTTACAGTCCCGATGCTTGGCTGGCACTGCAGCCTCAGATGCTCTTCAAAGTCCACAGCAAATCAAAGCAAGTCCAAATCACCACTGTGTCATCTGAAATGGCGAGATCCCAGTTTTGCCCATCTTCCTTACAACCAAAACGCAATCTCTGGACTGGAATAGCCCATAGCATGCTACACAACTGCAATTTAGGGCAGCAGGGTCTGAAGCCTCTTAAGAAACTGAGAAAAGTGATATAGGGAGAGGAACTCTCCCCACTTTGCAGCTCGAATATCCACCAGACTATGGGACGTAACCTGCCTGGCATGCACACGGCATCTCAAATCAGGGCTGCGGGTGATACACAGGCGGTGGCTAAAGGCCATTCAAAGTTGTCATGCACATCTGTCCTTGGCCTCCAGGCACTTTCTGTAAGAAAGCTGTGCCTCGGAGAAACCCCCATGGGACACCTACCCCTCCTTGCCTTGCGTGTCTCCCTTTGGGGTTGCTGTACCTGCCATGCCAGAGGTGGCAATTTTGGGAGCGGTGTCCTCGCTCCTTCTGCAATAGCTTCAGTGGGAACTCACCCAGAAAAAAAGAGATATGGAGATAGGACAGTCTGCATTGCATCCCAGGGGGCTGAGCACCACAAGACCCAAGGAGACAAGAGCTGCAGTGGAGCAGAGCCCCTCGGGTGCTTTTATGACAGCCCCAGCTGCGATGCCCACCTTGCTGAGCACATCCAGCGGCTGCTGCTGTTTGGAGCCTGCCCTGTCCCACCAGCCAGTTCCTGTCCCATGTAACAAGCTGCTTGCTGCTGCCCCTTGGATGAAGGGATGAGAAGTCACAGGGGACGCTCGCTACGCTCATTTGCAAGCCAATACCCAGCCTGTAATTGTAGCCCACAAGTCCATTTATAGCAGCCCTGATGCTGAAAAATTTGGGTGTGCTGGAGGGCGGCACACTGAATTTCCCTCCATTCCCCCCTCACTAAAAGCTTTCAGCTGTGCAACCCATGCTTACCGTGCCCCAGCAGCCAGCTTTGCTGCACAGAAAAAAAGGCAAAGCAGCAGTTACTTAAAGAAACCCTTAGGGGATGAGAATAGACAGAGGGAAATTTGCTTTCTCAGGTTGCCAAGTCATTTGTCAACAAGCACTCCAGCCAGGCACGCTAAAATATATAGCGGGGCACTGCAGCAGGCATTTAATTGCCACTTCTTAAAAATAACCCTGAAAATGCCAGCAAGCAGTACCTTCAGCTGTGACCCTCGATTGAACGGCAACTGGTTTGAAAGTAAAATGCTGCTGGTTGCTTGTCTGGTTGTTGTTTGCCCTGCAAATCCACCCCGGAGTTTTCTCTATCCTCTTTTGGCTCTGCAGAGCTGCTGGGAATAAACTGAAGCAAAACCCTTCCCCTTATCACGGGCGCCAGCAAACCTGGCTTTGAGCGCAGCCAGGGAGTGGATGGGCTGAATAAGAAGGTATTATTTACACAGGCTTTTTAGAGTCATCTGGCATTTTTAACTCTGCCCTGCAAGGTACGCCAGGCTCTGGGGCAGGGAGGAAAACCTTGTGCCAGAATGGGCTCCGCTCCCCAGTTTGGTGGGTGCAGAGCATGAGCCATACTGGAAAATCCAACCCACAGCATGTAGTAAGAAAACCCGAAAAGATCAGGCTGCTCAACAAAATAGACATGAAATCTCAGCTCATCACAGAGCCATCAAGCCTGCCAGAAGTGCAAGACTACTGCAATCTCCTCTTTGACTTGCCCACAGAAATTAGCCTTCAAAGATGACTCTCTGCTGTAGCGGATGGACCAGATGCAAACTTCTAAAAAAATAAATACAGGACCATCTGGCCTCTCCTGATGCATTAAAGGCTTAAAGGAGAGCGGCCCTTTAGCTCAGGTACCGATTTGTCACTAACAATTTCATCACATCCTAAGCCGCCAACTGCTTTCTGCATTTTAGCTCCACGCAACTGCAGCCACCGAGAGAATTATTTGACTCCCAGCGCAAAACCCTCCTGCCACCCACCGCACCAGTGTTTTCCTTCCCAGTTAAAACTAGCAGTGATGCTCACCAGACAGGTCGAGGCTCGGAGTTACTTTTTCTTCGCAAGCATAACAAGTCCGCGTCTTGCTGGGAGCTGAGTTATAACATGGCCAGGACAAACAGATCAAGTTCCAGCAGATTTCTCGAGGCTTTGGGTTTGCCCCTGGCAGCCCGGCTGGATGTCTACCTTGTGAGACTCCTGAAAAACCCCTTTTGGGCCAGCGATTTTCTGTCCCCATCCCTGGGTGCGGCACAGGCATTGCCCTGGCCAGGAGGCAGCTGCTGTTTGGGCAACATTGTGGTGATGCTTAAGGCTCAACCATGGGACGGCACAACACCGAAAAGAACAATACTGCAAGTTTTCAGCAGTGGTTGTGATGTCTCACAGACACTTTAGGACAGGGAGTGAGGAGGGGTGTATCCTGCTAATGCCAGAGGAGCGGGTTCCCCACGGACAGCATTTGGCAGGAGCATCGCCGCCAGCCAAGGTGCACCACGAGCTATCCCAGTCCCGCTGTTTTCCTGCAGAAGGGATTTTTCTCCTCAAAGGGCAGAAAAATACTCCCTTGACCGGGGAATGCAAATTTAATCTGTGTTTGCACACAAGGAAAGCCAAGAGCAATTGCTTGGCTGCCCAGAGCAGCCCTTCACCCCAGAGCTGTCCCTCCTCGGGGCAGTGGTGGTTCCCCAGGGGCCGTTCCTGGTACGGCCGCCCCTGCCAGGGCTACAGCCACCCCAGCAGCGTCCCATGCTGAGCCGAGCGTGCACGAAGCTGAAGCAGGCTCCTCCCGAGGACAGGCAGCTATAATTATAAAGCCCACATCTGTTAACGTTGCATAATCTTAACATCGTCCGAGGCTCACGGAGGGAAAAAAAAAAAAAAAAAAAGCCCTCATCTCAACTTAGAAACCCCCTTGCTGGCTGTAGGAAAAGGTTAGGAAGAAAGGCAGGCTGTGAGGAAATCTGGACCGTCCAGGGCTCTCTGGGATTTTCCATTTCCTTCCTTGTTCTTGCCCTGAAAGAAGCAGTTCGAGGCAGGGGGGAGAGCGGAGGGGGGGGGCTGAAATGGAGTTTAAAAAAAATTTTTCATACTTGAGACGGGTCAGTTGAGCATAAACACGTTGATAATATTGCTTAGGGAAGGTCCCTCGCGTGCACTAAGCACAGGAAGAATGCAAGAGGTTTTTAACCACATGCGATCAACCCTTTTTTGCTAATTCTATCGATATTAGTAAAAGGAATTATTCAGGCTGGATGAAGAAAGGTGGTGAGCGAGGGTGGACAGAGAAGAGAAGAGGTGCAGGAAAGCCCTGCCAGTGCCTCCCACCCCGCTGCAGGGCTCGGTTTGGATGGGGTGCCCTACAGGCGCATCCCCCAGTAGCGCCTTGCTCTGGTCCTCATGGTCCTCGTCCTCTCTCCACCGGCTACCAGACAGTGCGAGACACAGGACACTGAATCATTTTAACTATAATACAAAGGATTTATGCAGCCACCAAAGGTGGCTGGAGCTTTAATGTGCCCGCTTGAGAAAGGTGATGGGGGCTTAATGCCAGCAGCAGATGCTGCCCGCTCTGAGTGCCAAGGGGTGGTTAAACGTCCTCCGGGCTGATATGTCTGATGGATGCCCACAGGGCTGGGGACATCAGCATCATCCTCAGCCCTTCCTATGCCGGGCCACGGCACTTTGCTTGCAGTGCTGCTTTATGAGACAAAACCACACTGCACTTCCATACCACCTCCCCTCCGGGACCTGTAAAACCACGGAGGATGCTAAAGGCCATTTTTGCTTCCTACCCATTTTTTTCATGATCTTAGAGCCTGATGCTCAGAGATGCCATAAGAAAAAAAAAAGGATCCAATTATTGCTCTTAAGAGCAGTACCCTAAAGGTACCTAAAGGTACTCCAAAATAAAGAGCACACAGAAAGCTGTGGTTGTTTCCAAAAGCGTGGGATACATGCATATAGCCCACCTGCAACTGGGGATAAAACCTGCACAGTGCAGGGACAGGATATTGTCCTGCTTATCCAGTGGTTTCCAGCCTCTTAACTTTGGTGTCCCAAACATCTCCCTGGGGAGGTGCAGGCTCCCAGATCACCAGCTCAAGCTTATAAAACCTCTGCACTTCTTACTCATCATTCTTGGACAGTTTGGGTCCAACCCACAGATCCCTGGGACAACATGGACCCATGCTGCCCGAAAACTACCATCCCAGGGCTCAGAGCAGCGCCTTAAACCTCTTTTCATGAGCTTTTGTTTTTATATAGCTTTTGGCAACTGAATTAAAAAAAAAAAAAAAAAAAGTCCTGCTTCATTGTCAAGTCTTTGGAAAACACATTCAAATACAAGTCCACTTCCAACATGGATAAGCTGTCTCATGACTACCCCATAACCATGCCGAGACTGTAGTAAAATCCCAATCCATCCATCCACACAAGAGGGGACCGAGCCTCCAGCCCCAGAGAGGCCCTGGGACCTGTGTGCCTCATGCCTTTCCTGAGCAGAAAGCCCAAAATAGCTGTGTTTGCTTGCTTGCTGGCTCATTTATTTTCTACCTCAAAAGCATCCCCGCTGGTGTTAATGCTGGAAAAGCCCCTGCAGCCTCAGGAGCAGCCCACCAGCTGATGGGGCCCAGGAGCGCTTACCAAAGGGATTACTTTCTCACCATTTTCAGTAAACATTAACAAACCAGAAGAAATCTCCCTAATGGCACAGCTCTCTGAGCACTCACGTCTCTTCCCCATCCCTTCTCCCACCACCCTGCAATGCTGAAATGTCTCCAACCATCCTGCCTGCACCGCAGATCCCAAATGCCTAAAATCCAGCAGCACCTAATGTGCCTCTAAAATCCTCCAGGCTTTTCTGTAACACCCTGCAGAACCGTGACAGAAAATATCACCCACACAGTGCTTCTCCTTCCTCTTTCCAGGGTTTTTAAAGTCCCCTGGAAGTTTTGCCAGGCAGGAAGGCAGCGGTACCCTCGCCGGCGCTCGCAAGGGCAGAGCAAAAGCTGTGCAGGGGGACCCAGCCCCGTGTCATTTTAACTTGTGCTCCCATCCGAGGGCAGCACTGCTGGAGACTGTCAGACGGCTCGGGGAGGAAGTCTCCTGGCAGGGCTCCACCAAAGTGGAGTTGCTAGGTCACTGGAACAATAAAAAGGCAAGAAAAAACATCCTGGCTGCAAAAAAGAAAGGAGGAAAAAAAAAAAAGGAAAAAAGCCATGGCAGGGTGTACAGCACTGGTTAAGTGGAAAGAAACGGGGCTGGAGAGAGCAGGACGATGCCTCTGCTAGCTTTTGTAAGCAGGCGACTTTAATGTCTAACATGGACCTTTCTCCAGAGCTCTCACACGAATAATTCCAGAAACGTGGAATTTGTCTGCAAGGTTTGCAATAGGTAAAAATCTCACACGGGGCTCACTAGAACAGTATTTCCAGGGGAGCTAGCCCGCTGCTGCTATGGAGAGATT